GGGTGCGAGAGCACGCGCGCGCTAAACGTGACACTTGTATATTTGCAAAAAATCCTTTTTTTGTTGTTTCAGGTAAAGCGAAGGGAAAGCATTAAAATGAACGGTAATAAATAACGTTGGAGGCTTGTAGGCTGTTTTATTCTGAGCTTATAAAGTGTAAGAGAGAGATTAGCAACAAAAACAAGCTTCACTACAAAGATCTCTTTATGCGAGTCGAAAGGGCAATTTCCCTCTCTCAATGTTGCCAACAGAGAAAGAAGTCTTAGCTCCAATCATAATGTCAGTGTCACGAGGTATAAACGTCTGTATACAATTAGGAGGGGCAGCACTTTACAGTTAAAAGTGGATACTTTTAACCTATTTTAAGCCATTTAAGTAGTTCTAACACCAGTCAAAACCGTTGCCTGCCAAAAATAACGCTACAATAATGATGGCACCGAGTGTTGTATGCGGATTGCACGCTTCTGAGAATACAATCGATAAGATGGAAAAATGTAATCTCAAAATGCACTCATACTAAGTAGCTTTCACAAATAGCCCATATTTAGTAAATTGTCAAGTAAACAGACAAAACCCTTCACATTCTTTTCGTGTCAATGAGCTCGAGCGAACACCTTTTAGAAGCATTAGTTTCAATCTCCGGACAGAGAGGATTATTAAAATAAAAGTCAAAGTTCAATCGTTTATCAGTGGTCACCATTTTAAGAGAGTGACAAAAGAGGGCTTTATTCTCTAATTCGGGGAGCTGAAGATGGTACCCACAATGCTCTCTCTGTGTGTATGCACTATAGCAAAAGCCCTAAGTCCATTTCAAGCACAGATTTTCGATAGAGCGCATTATGAAGCTCCCCTAAAGAAGAAGAAGAAAAGAAACTCGAAATGCGCCAACGTCTTTATGGCCAAACAGCCCTTACGCCGGTGGATCACAATACGCTCACTACGCGAACCTGTGACCTCTGATTCAGCAGACGAGCACGTTGGACGTCATAGGCGCACTGGCAAGAAACAAAGTCAAATTCATTGCCTCATAAAATAGCCTCACAATGGGAGTAAGTACAACTTGAGACAGAAAGAAGTCTCAAGTTCGTTTGTGGAATCGTTCTCATTGACCTGCATCTCTGTTGTTTGTTGCGAGAACAGTTATCGAAAGAATTTACGCATTTTAGCTGCACTATCAATGCAAAAATATGAGCGTCCTAATCACATTAAGTGACCTCGACGGAAGATAAGAGGATTCGAACCAACCCCTCGAAAGAGCCAGTAATCTCAAGGAACATGAACCGACTGGATAGAGGGGTTAACGGTGCTTCATGAAATTCATAAAAACTTCCCTTAAAAGCTTAAGCGCTTTATTTCCTGCATGCATGCAATCTTGAGTATACAAACAATGCAAAATAATTTTTAAAGAACTGATGCATTTTTCTCTAACGAGAAGGGACAAAATCCGACGGCAAAATGCCGAATTAAGAAGAAAAAGTCAAGTTGAAACAGGACATTTCTAAGTCTAAGAACTAGCGTATACACTGGACACTTGACATACTCAAAAAAGCAAAGTCATAAGCTAGAAAAAACATTCGATTATACTCAAGTGATCGAATAGTGGAATATATTTTAAAGGAAAGAGAATATCTTATGCATAGTAAGCAATGAAATTTAGGAAAAAAAATACGAGATCTTACGACACAGGAAAAGGTTCCATAGTGGCTCCAGACTCAATGACATCCTCAAAATTATAGTCCAATTGTTCCAGAAGAAGATAAAGCAGTTGAATTCCACCAAGACTCTGCAAAGCCGATTGCAACGACGTTGTGCGAACCGCCTTGACTTTCTATTTCAAAAAAGAAATCAGAAACAGAGAACCGATAAGATCAGCCAAAAACTAATTACCTAATTAATTAACCGCCAAAATATGTTACTAAATGGATAAATATTGACATGTCTTACCCCTTGCATAAGCGCATGTGGAGCATGAGTGAATACCGAGTTCGGTTTGGGTGATTGATCCAAGCAGAGATTGTGATCGCAAGCAGAGGGATAATAAGAGAACATAATCGAAGCTGAAAGTTTACTCTCAATCAAAGCCTTGCGTTCAGTTTCATTTAAGATGCCTCGAACACCCGATTCAAATTTCAACTGTCCGTTGTAATTTGGACCGAGGGAATAAAGTCCCGAAATTTGTTGTGGCAAGAGAGCTTCAGTAAATCCAGTGATTGACGCGATTCTACCAGAGAATAGATTATCTTCTCTCTGGTCAAAAGATCCCCCGATCACACAACGATCAAAAGAATCCGACGTTGAAATCGGCCAAGCCATATCGACGCTAGAAATAATCTTTCCGTCGACATAGAAACGAAGTTCTGATTTAGTCCATCGATTATAGACGAATACAAGGGTCAACATGTACCACTAGAGAGGGAAAGAGAGAAAATAGAGTAAGTAGAATCAAGTTACCCGACATGGCTGGAACTCGGTTGGAACGCAATGCTGTAAGCCCTTTTCTTTCGCTCTTATCGAAGTGACTATAAATAAGGTTCCCAAAAAGTGGCCAGTATATCCTAGACCCTTATCCGTTTGAAAACTAAATAGCCAATAAAAATAAATATCAGGCAAACCTGAAAAGATATCGTGGCTTAATTTCACTGAGCTTGCACAGTGAAGGATTAAGATAAAGCCATGATTGAAATGTCCATCCATTTTGATAGGGAAACTTTGAGATAGGAGGTATAATAAGAGTCTAAAAAGGTGATAAGTTAATAAAAATTCTATTACGCTTTTGGCTTCACCGGGAAATACAAAAAAAGACATGTTGTTAGGAAAACTAGACGCAAGTTTTAATTGATGAACGAGTTCATATGAGTAAGGTCGCCATGTTCGACCGGGAGAGACGATATAATCTATTATAAACCGAAGACTTCTTGGGGAAACAGTAAAGGAAAGAAGACTTGACAGTAGTAAAAGGTATTTTGAAGCTGTATGCTCATCCGACTTTCCAATAGCATTTAATAGGACAGCTACAATGGATGACTCATCAAAATCAACAAGGGTAGTTGGAGATAGTCTCAAAAGAACCAGAGCTTTATCTATCTGTGACTCCTGAAAATCAAGTATTATGGAGGGTGCTTAATCTTACGGAAACTGTAGCATCCAACAAAAACGCATTAAGTAGATCAGATAAAGCAGAAGGAGAAAACCTAGAAGAAAATAATACGTTTTTATCTTCTACCTTAATTCTTCAGATGTCTTGGAAGCTTTTTCAATTACAACATTTTTATTTTGTTTTCGATCATTTTGTTGAATCGATCCGGAATCTTGAGTTCTACTTTCAGCATTCTGTGCAATGGATGCATTAGTGTCCATTGCTAGCTGATTTTTGGGTTTTAATGATATAATTCACACTTCAAAAATTTCGAAGGAATTTCACAACCCAACGACTGGACCTCTGTCGAAACGGCCGGTGTTATCATTCAACCAATTAAAATCAAGGACACAATTGTCTGATATAGTTAAACTATTATATTTGTTATACTTGAATCGCGTACTAAAGCTAATTTATATATTTTTTTAATTTATTTAAAATCTGATTTATGCAAACTTAATAGATTAAACGTCATGAAATTTTAAATCCGGAGGTGTATTTGTGCATATGATATATTGTGGAACTATTTTCCAAATTCAAACTAATTAATGCTCATTGATTCCCCAACTTTGTCCTCAAACCATTTGAATTTTTACTAACACTCGTTTGACTGCTCTTTAGACTGGTGACTCCTTCTTATGCCTTCCCTCAATCAATAGGCCTTTTGCCTCGTATACCATAATGATCGAATAAGTAGGAAAAATTAATAATTCCTTTTAAAAGCTATGATAAATTTCTCATAGGATATTTTCATTTTTATCAACTATCATTGAAATATTATCTAAAGCAAACTACCTTAAACAGAAAGTAGGCAAATTGAAAGTAGATTAAGTGAACAGCCAACAGCTTCAGATAGTAATAAGCGAATGTTTTGTATTTCAGCATCAACTACACAATTGGCGGAATTCCGACAAATTTAAGAATAAGCGCCTTCTGGAAAAAGCGAATCTATTTAATTGGTCTACTATTTGCAGTAGAATAACAAGGCAAATTTACGAAATATCAGAAAGTTAGAAGATGTTTGCAGCAACTTCAATGAGTCAGAATGTAAATTCGATCTTATTCAGTATTTTTGATGGTATTTGATTTAATTTCATGCTCCAAAACTTACGGAAACTTTGTCACGAGATTGCATGAAACGGTATGAATTCCTTTTCTAGTGCCTTTTTTGTCACAAGACCATTAAGAGCGTATTGGTTATTTAAGCAGGCATTTGGAGGCTGATAAAAATTTGAAGTCAGATTTTCCTTAAAAACGACCCATGCGACATGGAAAGAGTGATCGAACTCTGAGACATTTAACTTCAAGGATTTGTTTCAGGAGTGATTTGTGGTAGATAACGGTGCTTAGTTTCCAAAGTTCACTTGTGTGTCATTTTACGAAACCCCGAAATCAGGGTTTGAGTCTTAAATTGCTTGAAAAAAGGTTACATGGGAAGAGAGTCTGATCGTGTTTATCTGAATGGAATGGACAACTGAATTTCATCGGAATATTAATTGGGATTTTTACATATCAAAATTTTTCCAGTTTAAAACTACTCATTATTGTGTCATGTTTTCAATTTTTGTGAGCAGATGCTTTGATTTAGTAAATGGTGGGTTTTTCACATTAGTGGCATTGATACAACACTCTGGATTGGACGAGTGACATGTATATCTGAAATTGCTATAAATAAATCAGAGTTATTGTGCATTGGCCTAGAAATACAGTCATACTTCTATGTAAGGCTGTGATTTAGTGCTCAATGTGCACGTCGGTCAATTATGAACGCGCGAAATCAGTGTTTATGGCTAAACATTCAGTGGGATATGGCAAACAGCTCTGATTACGTCTTGCGGTTAAAGTAAGTATAATACATTATTGTATATTATTGTGTTTAACACTGAAAGTCTCATTTCATTTAAATCCGAGAGAAAAATTTAAATACGCAGCTGTCAACTGTTGACGAATGTTTGCCAGAGATAGAGCTACGTTCTTTCACTGTTGACATGATCACTCTTTGTAGAACACAAAGAATAATAATTAATTCTAACGCCAAAATTCTGGATATTTCAGTCCTTAAAAATTCGGTGATGGTTCAGACAAAGAGTATCAGGATGCCCTTCTTAATTTTGATCGATCGGCCGTGTAAGAGCACAGTCATACGGTTTTCGAGCATAAGGTGAGAAGAAATGATGGTTCAATTTTCCAACCGTTTTCAGAAATTATTTAGTTTCTTATTTTCATTTTGCTTAGAACAGTTTTAAGAGCACATATTAATAGAATGTTTGTATTTTTATATTTTAATTGAATAAAAGGATGAATACTTATTGTATCATCAAAATAGTAAAGAATAAACTCTAACAGTCAGAAACATCACGTTGTTTATTTTGATATTCAAATTAAATTTAAAGCTTACCTAGGTTAATTTGTGAGATTGTTAATGATTTACTCTAAAACCTGCAAAATGGACTTGTTTCAATGCATCTAAAATGAACTATTTCTTCAGTGCGCAATTTCCTAATCGATTTGCGGTTCTGCTACGATGGCTTGCCAACAGGAAAGGAATGTAGGTGAAACGGTCGCCATAGAAGAAGAGGAAAATACTGGACCAATTCCTATTCAAAAACTCGAGGTTGATATTTGCTTAATGTCTATTTTATTTGGTTGTTGTTCAGTATCGTTTTAAAGGGTTATTTTATTTCCATAGGGTTCAGGTATATCAGCAGCGGATGTCAAAAAGTTACAGGAAGCGGGATTTTATTCCGTGGAAAGTATTCAGTTCGTCCCAAAAAAGGCTTTGCTTAACATTAAGGGCATTAGTGAAATGAAAGCTGATAAAATTTTGGTAAGCTTATTATTCTCCTTTTTGCAACTGTTTATATAGGACGCGGCTAAGAAACTTGTTCCATTTGGTTTCACAACTGCTACCGAATTTCATCAAAAGAGATCTGAAATCATTCAACTTACAACTGGTTCTAAGGAACTAGATAAGCTTCTACAGGGTGGCATTGAGACTGGTTCAATTACCGAACTTTTTGGAGAGTTTCGTACAGGAAAAACCCAAATTTGTCATACTCTTGCTGTCACATGCCAAGTATATAACAGCCCTAAATATTAATTTACGATAGATGCAGTCATTTATTTGTGGCTATTGTTTTCTTTTTTTCTTCTTAGCTTCCTGTTGATATGGGAGGAGGTGAAGGCAAGTGTCTTTATATAGATACGGAAGGTACTTTTCGTCCTGAGCGCTTGCTTGCTGTCGCCGAGAGGTATGGGTTGTCGGGCAGTGATGTTCTTGACAATGTTGCCTATGCTCGTGCTTATAATACCGATCACCAAATGGAGCTCCTTGTTAACGCCGCTGCCATGATGAGCGAGTCTAGGTAAATACCTGTCTACTTAAATAATTATAAGTAGGATATTTGAGTATATTAATTCTCTGGATATTTTAGGTATGCGCTACTTATCGTGGATAGCGCTACTGCCCTCTATCGAACCGATTATTCTGGTCGAGGTGAACTTTCGGCCCGTCAGATGCATCTCGCCCGTTTTCTTCGAACCCTCCTTCGCCTTGCGGATGAATTCGGCGTTGCTGTTGTTATTACTAATCAAGTTGTAGCTCAAGTAGATGGTGCAGCAATGTTTTCGGCCGATCCTAAAAAACCCATTGGTGGTAATATCATGGGTCACGCGTCGACCACCAGGTATGCTTCAAGTTATTAGAGTCGATTCTCTTTTTATAATTCATATTTATCGTCTGTCTATTTTGTAGGCTTTATCTCCGTAAGGGCCGTGGTGATACTCGAGTTTGCAAGATTTATGACAGTCCTTGTTTACCAGAAGCTGAAGCAATGTACGCAATTTTGCCTGATGGAATTGGTGATGCAAAGGATTAAGAAGTTTCCTCTTTATTTTGAGTATTTTCTCTTTCCACTGTTTATAATCTTCTGGATTACGCAAATTTGTCACATAGCTTTTTTACTCCCTTTGGTAGCGTTTTGAATATTCTCTTCAGATCGATATGTACTTTTCTTACGTTTTTTTGCATTGTTCGATCTCCGCTTTATGACCGTCAAATATTGTGGGTTTTATCCCTACGATTGTATTTTTTATGCATCCAGTTTTTACTTCTTATTTTTTTCAGGCCAACAAAATTATCGTTTAGTTTTTGTGTTGGACTATCAATCTAAAAACATTTATAGAAAGTGTTGGGATTGACAATTGTTCGTTGCATTTTTTCCATTTATTTTCGAAAGTATTGCAGTAATTTCTCTGTCATGCTAAAGTTTCCTTGTCGGGAATCGCGTCTCAGTGAATTGGCGTTTTTCTGATGTTCATATTTTCATTTACTTGAGTTTTTATTCTCTCCAGGTCTTTGTCATTCTCATTGCGTATGCAAAAGTTTAAGTGAACTATTTAAGAATACCGCAATATATCGTAGCTTACTTTAACATTAAAGTGATACTAAATTCAAATGACAAAGAAGTTACAATTTGGGTGATTTTATAAACATAATCATCCATTTGAGTGGAGACTTCAGGATTATTATGGCCTGGAATAGGATAATGGGATAGTTATTTGATGATGAAATTAGTCTTTTGAAATAGCACTTGTCTACCAGCAGTCTATGAGTTCAATAGGCTATGTTCCTATGATAAAATTATGACGTCATTACCCGACCAATCAAATCGCGCATATTGCGATGTATTAGAAAAACTATTTCGTGAGCCGCTATTTGGTTCTTTTTTGATTTGTGTTGGAGTTATTATTATTTAGAAGAGGAAATCAGTGCCAATGGGAGAAACTGCTGCTTGCATAAATAAGGCAGATTTTACCAGCATGCATCAACGCGGGGTAATAAATTAGTAAATGGCGACGCCTTTTCTGATTCATCGTAAAGCATGGAAGCCGAATTTCCTCTTTTCATTTGTGCAGAATTTCCTAAATGGGTAAAATTCAACATAATTTGCCATTTAAACATCTTTCAAGAATTAATTCAAACTACTTTCGATAAATTCAGTGAAGGGAATGTGTAGCTCAAGGTTTAAATAAATTATTGATTTAACTTCCTTAAGTAGAGTTCCACACTTGGTTAGGGATTGCGTGTCTGAGAGCCCAGATATTGTAAGAATTATTGCTGCAGTGATGCGCACGACTTCAATGATCGATAACCCAGTTCAAGCGGAATGAAGCATTTGAACTCCATAGCGCATTGTAGATACTCAATACGGAGACAGATGTAATGCGTAACCACCGCAATTGAGACCGAGCTGGTTGATGGGGAAAGAGCCTTTATCGCTTAGTTATAACACTTCCCTGCGCTATAACAAGCGACAATGATATCACTTACTGTAGACTATTTCCAGTCTGATTCGAAATACTTGAAATATTGGTCCAAAAATGAAAATAAATTGCATATATCACTATAAGTGGTTCCATATTTCCTATTTTTGCTGAAGATGATTCAGCACATATGCAGTTGATCTGTAATTCTGAACGTAAACGGTGCCTTTTCTTTTAAAGTAGGCATATACTTCTTACCTTTGTGCATAGTCAATAATTGACTTAAAAGCATTAGAGGGCAGATAATTTTACAAATATGATTGAATTTCGAAAGATCCAATGACAGTAACCTGTGAAGCCCAGCAAACCATGCAATCGACCAAGATATTTGGATTATTATTGACAAAGAACAAAAATATCATAAATTAGCGCTGATTTTATTGCTACAGTTTCTAGTGATCTACTTTAGTAACTTCAAATGCTGAATAGAGTCAAAGTTCACGCGGTAAACCGTTGTTAGTGAACAAAGAAGAAAGTTCGTGAATGTAGAGCTCACACAACAACCCCTTCAAATAGCCAGTTATCACTGGAAATTCTTCATTGAAGAAACCAATGAAATGATAGGATACTCAGTTGATGATACATCAACGTATATGTACATATGCAATAAAATAGCTCTACATGCTCAACACTAGCTGTCGAGTTCAATTTCTTTCGTGGGAGTTTCACAAGGAAGCCCTAGCAAAGTTAAACCTAGACTACATTGCACTGTAAACGTGAAGTATAGGAAACTCCGCTCCCTTGTTTACAGATTTATGAAATATCAATAAATATGCTAGTACAAAACGCCACTTAGCAATAGCTTCAGTTAAATGAAGGTGAGACTGAGGCCACTTTCATTCCATCACACTGCTTTTAATAAGGAATGCTGAGTCATTCATTTTTTAATTGGGGTGTGGGATAGACTTACCTCCACGTGGTGCACCCTAGGAAATGTATACTCATACGGCAAAAAGTCTGTTAATCGACAGTTGACTTCTGACTTCAAACTACCATCACCCCACCGTATGTCATATACGACCGCTTTCACAGTACTCACCTCACCTTTTTCTATCTTTTCTATCTTCGTCTTTGAAACACTCTTCTGTTTCCCCCCCCCCATCTCGACTTTTTTCACTTCGATTTTCCTTCCCCTCTGTGAAGCCTGAAGTCAACTAAAGGGCTAATGATAACCATCATAACGCCTGTCATTTGATATAAATAAACTTAAAGTGGTATAAATGGCCCTCAAAACTAACTTTGAATAACTAATTTACATTTTTAATCGAAGTAAATTTTCTTTCCTCAATACTAAAGGGAATAAAATAGTTATTTCTTAGAAGCCCAAAGAGGTGCCTTTACTAGGTCTTTCAATTCAAATGAATTGCAAATTGTAATGGCCTATTAATTATAATAACACAAAGTGATAGAAGCTTCTAATTGTGACACTTATTGTCCAGTAAGTCCATGTGTGGGAAAAAGACATTGGGAATTGAAAGTTCTCCTGCTATTACTTTAGGGGGACATTTGAAAGCGACTCAG